TCCTGCCATTCAAATAACTTGAGATCCAATTAAGAAGATCACTTGGAAAACCCATTGAATCGAGTTTTCTAACGAGGAGAGAATGGTTAACAGAGTCAAAAGCTTTACTGAAATCAGTATAGATTACATCTGTCTGACAATTATTATGGAAGCCCTTTATAATATAGGAAGAGAGCTCCAAAAGATTTGTTGTTGTTGATCTTCGCTTAATAAAACCATGTTGACATGGAGAAATAACCGATCTACAAAGGTGCTGTAAATGAGGGGTGATAATATTTTCAAATAATTTTGGGATGGCCGACAACTTAGAGATTCCTCTATAATTGCTGGCATCCAATTTGCTACCTTTTTTGTGGAGAGGAATAATAAACGATTCCTTCCAAATAATGGGAAAGTGGGAGGTTTCTAAGGACAAGGTAAACAATTTCAGAAGGGGATAGCACAGGGCGTCGGCGCAATACCTGAGCACACAGCCTGGAATTCCGTCGGGACCTGGCGAATAAACTGGCTTGACACGATGAAGATCTAAAAGGAGAGAGCTTTCGTTTAGGCTGGGACAGAAAATTAAGTTTGATTTGGGTATGTCGTAGGAATAGGTCTGGTGTAGATACGAAGAGCTAGAATAGGTTGTTTGAAAAAACTGCGAAAATAGATCGGCTATTGCCTGATCATTATTTGCGGTAGTATTTTCAAATGAAAGCGAGGAAGGATTTGTTTTAGGTTTACGTTTAGTGTTAACGAAATTATAAAACTGTTTTGGGTCCTGTGAGAACTGGGCCCTACAACGAGTTAAATAGTTTTTATAACACTGCGCGTTCAGCACGGTAAAGTTTGACCGAGCTGATAAATAAAATGAAAGGGCAGATTGAGAACCGGTGATTTTGAATTTAGCATACAGTCTAGATTTTTTATTTTTAAGTCGGCTCAACTCTTTAGTAAACCACGGCGGTTTATTCGAGCTTGGCGGATAATATAACGGAACACATTCAGTAAAAAATGAATTCATGGCACTGTAAAAAATATCCACGGCAACTGCCATGTCAGTGCACATGTATAGATCAGACCAATTGAACTCGTTTATAAAATTATTCAGCCGTTCAAAGTCCGTTTTGCGAAAACATAGGACTTTATTGGCTGGACGATCAGAAATATTCTGTACGTCACACCCAATATCAAGAGTCACATCGAAAGTTGGATGATAAGGATCTTCGGGCTGCGTCAGAGGCGCCACCCTTGCTAAACTGACTCTCGCAGGATCAGAGACGAAGCAAAGATCGAGCAAGCGCTGTAAGGAATTTCGAACATGGTTGACTTGAGACAGCGAAATGTCAAACAAGCCAGCGATAAAGTCATGTTGTGTAGGTGTATGGAGAGTATTGGTGGAATTATTTGAGCACCAAATAGCACCAGGGATATTAAAATCTCCTAGAACTACCAACTGGTCTCTATCCAAAAGTCTACTGGAAACCATCTGAATAGCGGAAAGGTGATTCCAATAAATAGGAAGTTCCGACAGTGGAGGTATGTAGGAACAGGTAATAAAAATGGAGCTACCTTTGATAGATAGCTTCACACAGAGGAATTCAACATCGTTACATTCCTCGAAGGTTAATAATTCTGACGTGAGTGAGGAGTCCACCGCTATTAGAACTCCACCCCCGCGTCTGACAGGGCGATCTAGCCGATATACCGTGAACACAGCTGGAAAAACTTCGGAGCTCAGAATCTCCGGCTTTAACCAGGTTTCTGTGAGCACAATAACCTGAGATACAAACGAAAGGCTATCAGAATACAAGTTAGGAAGCTTACTACGTAAGCCTCTTGCATTCTGATAGGAAATACCTAGGGAGTGGGTTAGTTTTTTGGATCGGGATTGGAAGACGTAGAAGGCGCAGTGGTATGATCAGGCCTGGGTAGAGTTATTCCTACAGGCCGCTTTTTCTTTTTCTTCGCCTCGAACTCCTTAACAACGATGTACTCTGGCCAGAAGTTGGGAGAGCAAATAGTATTGAAGAGCTCGTTAGGGACATTTATTTTGAAAGATGAAATGTCCCTTGCGTAAGAAAATTTGAATTTTTCCACCTTTATCTTAATTTTTTCGGCTCTGGTTTTGCCTTGTATAAAGGCGAGAACATCTTCCGATGTTTGGTCAGGGGAGAGCCGCGAGACAAAAATATGTCTCGTTGGTGGAACAGCTATAAGGGCTTTTGGCAAGGCAGATTGGTTATCCGCCGTGCCATTGTCGGCCGGTATTCCGGGCCTAACACCCTGGGAAGATATATTTATGTGAACGGGACTTTGAGGGGTCAATATTTGCGACCCCCCAGGCGATAGAACAGAAATCAACGGCGGTACGGGCACTCCCGCTGCACATTCGGATACCGAATCTTTTCTAGCGCTCGATCTCAGCACTCTTGGAATTAATGCTGAGGTCGAGGGCTGTGCCGAGGGAGGCTGCTGCTGAGAGCCCGTTGCAGGTAGTTGGGGTCCGTCTACATGCTGCCCACCAGTAGCAGTTTTTTTGCGCCTAGGAGACTCATTTAATAGCGTAAGGCTATTAAATTGGGTGTCCAGCGCCAAGAACATATCAAGAGTTTTACGAAAACTCGTTAAAATGCCCTTAAAACCGCTTTTGGTTTGCCGCATGAAAGACATCATCTCCCTTTCTACATCGCGACAGGCCTCACAACAGAAACGCAGGCCGATGTTTTTTTTTACATCGTCCACCGTCCGAGCTGCAACTCCAATACACTTGGCGTGCATGACGTTGTCGCACAGCCAGCAGCCGATTGTAAGGTCACCTGCAACAACTGCCTTTTTGCAGGTTTTCACTAAACAGACAATATTTCCGGACATTATTAGGACTTACCACTGTACTTGTACTTGGAAAAAATAACAACAGAGATATGAACAGCGAGAGCGAGAGAGCGGGAGAGCGGGAGAGCGGGAGAGCGAATGAGATTAGATTAGATAAGAAGTGCAGCGGCACAGCTAAAGCGAGAGAGTGAGAGAGCGTGGGAGATAGATAGATAAAACGTTTAGCTGTTGCGACGGCGCAAACAAAAGCTAGACGAAGAAGGCACAAAAAGGAATGCAAAATATGCAAAAGCTAACACTAGCAGCACAACTAAATTGGAAAATAAAGCCAATTATGTACACAAAATAGTATAGCTGCATGCACACGCGAAGTGAACGGGAAGTTATAAACACAAATTAGAAAATTTAAGTTAACCCCGGTGGTTAGAATCAATCTTTAATACAAAACGAGAGCGCAAGAAAAAAACACGTCCGTTCACTTGGAAAGATGAAAGTTTATGGCATAATATGTTATTTTTAATTTAGGGTATAAATATACATTTTAAAGGTTTCTATATTTATTAATTTATTAATTTATTTACTAAAAGTCTAACTAAAGCTTATATGTATCATTATTGCAGTACAGTTCAACGTTTTTGTCGAAGATCAATGTTTGTTTTGTACTTGAATTAAATAAAAGTTTTCTACCTTAATCTTCATTTAACTATTTAATACGATTTTTAAGATTTAAATAGTAGTGAAAAAAAGTACAATAATGTAATCTTTTTAAAATGTAACTATTTTATTAAATACATAAATTAATACCAAAGAAAGGTTTTATTGCCAGACAAACTGCAATAATAATAAAACTGAAACTAATAATACAGTGAATTCTACTAAAAATTGTATTATATATTTAACTATAATTTAAGTTAAAAATATAATTGTTGTGCATATTTTTTAACCAATTGCAAGCTAAACTTCAAATTATTTGCCTGCTAGACCTTTTAGAAGTAAGAATAATAATTTATAAATTAAATAGTTAAATCTGTTTAAAATTAAACCGTCTACAAATACTGTAAGAAGTATAATAATTTATAAAAAAATAGTTAAATCTATTTAAAATCATATAGTACAATTTTGGGTAGATTAAACTATATAATTTACAAATTACTTTATAATTTAATATTGATTAATCTCTTTTTATGCATTATCGTCTCTTGATAGGGTACTGAAACTATAGATTATTTGCCTGCTAAACATTTTAAAAATAGTCTAATAAGAATAATAGTTTATAAATTATACAGTTAAATCTATTTAAAATTAAAGTACATATTTTATACGTTCTCCATTTTTCTTATTATTTTTTATCCTCTCTAGTTAGAGTGTTAAAACCCCGCGGAAGGATTAAAAAAACTTGACCAACATGTGGCTCTCGCTTGGCTATTTTTAGACTCGCCTCGCTATCTGTCTGGATGTCGGGACATTTGGGATCTCGGGATGTCTGGCTGCAGCCTCATCCTGGCCAACTCAGACCACAGACGAGTTGCACTCTCCAGTAGTTGGAAGGAAGGTGGATGCACTGCTGCCCAGGGTCTCTTGGTTCATTAACTGAGGCCGAGTCTTAATCAGATTTGTGCGTGAAGTTCGGCACTCACCCGGGGCCACGGGCAATCGACCGACAAGAAATGGGTGGGATCTCTCTCTCTCAACTCATCCATGGATCCATGGATCCCTCGATCCTGGCTGTTCTGCAACAATATTTTAATAGGGGGGAACAACAGCAAAGAAAAAAATCATACAAAACGTCTGGCGAGTCAGAAATGCAGCAAACTGTCTTTCCGAACCAGTTTTCCCCCAAAAGCCAAAGCCAAACATCTGCGGAAGCGTGGCACTATAAACAATATTCTTTTAATTTTTTGCGTTGCGTCCCTTTCTGGTTCCTTGCCTCTCGTCTCGCAGATTTCGCAGCAGACAAATTTATGAGCGTTAAGTGAAGGCCAATAAAATTCTTTTTGTCTGGAGTGTATTGCTTGCTGCCGGCCAGTTTTATTTCCATTTCCAACTTCTTGGTCAGACCTCTTAAGTCATCTCTTCCGCGGGCAACATTCATTTTACGGGTTTCTCTTTCGGTATCGTTTTTATATTTCATATATAGGTACGTTGTCTGGTTTATTTTGATTTTATTTTTTGTACCAGGCAAATCGGGAAAAATTGATCTAAATTCCATAAGGTTTATAGAAATTTATATCTGATAGCAAATTTATAATACTACTTTTGGAGAAAATTGTAGTCAATAGAGGCTAAAAAAATAATCACAATGAACGTTTAAACAAAACTTCCAAAAACACACATAATCAAACTAAATTGGAATAAAATTCAAATAGGGTTTTGCCAAACATTTACCTATATAATTGTCGATTCTCATCAAATTGCTATAATGATACAAGTAATTAAAACGTTTACTTGCCGTAACGGTTATGTGAACAACTATATATACACATATTCAAAAATATGAAAAGCAACAGTTCCTGAAGGAAAGTGAAATGTGGATGATATGGTTAACGTTGGCCTGCTCTGCCACAGTAAGATAAGTAATTTATTCATTTATTTTATTAATCATTTATCTCAATTTCAAGAGCACCTTGGCGCATGTGAGCTTTACCAATTTGAAGTGTGAAAGTCATGATAAGAAATTCGCCCAATTTGAGACATGTCACATCAAGGCAGTTAATCGCACTCATAAATACATTGACATATATGCAAAATTAAAAGTAGTTCCAGTCTCAAAAGTTGAGGTGAGTTCGAATATCCTTAAACTAAAAGATATACGGTTTTTTTAATGTATCTTTCAGTTAAAACTCGAACCTATGCGTTATGATAATGGCTATAATCACTTCTTATTGCCAATGACCTTTGATTTGTGCAAGTTTTTGAAAAACCCAACTGCCAAATCAATGATAATTCTAAAAGAGATTTATTCCACCTTTGTGAATGTATCAAATATGAATCATACTTGCCCCTACGATGTGAGTATATATCTTTACTTTCTATATATCTTATATAAAACTATATACTCTTGCAATATTTAGCACGATATTATTGTCAGTAAAATGTTTACTGGCAATTTGGAGAAGGGTTTCACTTCATTTCTGCCAATACCACATGGGGATTATGCCATCTTTTCAAAATGGTATACTCGAAATATCCTGCGAGCCACAGTTAATATATACCTTCAGATTACTAAATAATATATATTTGTAAATTTGATCAATAAATGCTATGATGTAAATATCGTATTATTAATTTATATTTTGATGGGATTTGTTAAGTGCTTACAAAAATCAAATTAATAAATAACTGTATAACATCAAAATCCACTATTTAAGATATATTTACTTATTTTGTATATAATTTTGACTTGTTCCTAAATATATTACAATAAATTAACTATTTCTTTTATATATATATTTTAAAAGGGGATTAAAATGTTTTCTTTTTTTCAAGTGTATGCTGATGATATATCATTAGCAAAGCATGCCTAAAAATGGCTATTAGGCTTTGGTAATTATTTTTCCATTCAACCAAAATGTAAAAAGAAAAACATTTCAACTTTGGAGTTTAAGTGGAAAAGTTCCACTATGCATAAAATATTACATTTATTCATAATTTCTGGTTATCTAACAGTAAGACTCAAAACAAATAGTATAATAAGAATATAATTATTATATTTTCCCATCAAGGCAATCCTTAGCCATGTAACTTTCACAAATCTCAAATGCGGCACATCGGACAAGGGTTTTTTTGATTTCGAAAAATGTTATATAAAGGCAGTGAATCGTTCGCATAAGTATATAGATATTTATGTGAGTTTAAAGAAAGTACCAATGGACAATGTCACGGTAAGTTTTAAGATAATATTGAAATAATGCTGACATTAAATTCTTACGTGATTTGCAGATAAACGTAAAGCTAATGCGTTACAATAATGGCTACAAGCCCTTTTTCGTTGACGTGACTTATGATGCGTGTAAATTTCTGAAGAATCCCAACAAAAATCCTATTGTAAAAATGTTATACTATGCATATGTGAACAGCTCCAACCTAAACCATACCTGTCCTTATAATGTGAGTAAATGGGATATAAATTAAATTAAGATAAAAATATAGTTCATTTATCAACTTTAGCACGACATAATTTTTGATCATTTCTGGACTGGAAACTGGGAAACTGATTTTGAAAAGTATATTCCAACCATAAACGGTGAATATGGAATCTTCAACAATATTTTTCAAAATAGCATTTTTCGTGGTTATATAAAATTTTACATACGTATATCGGGTAGGCAACAAGACTAGATTGTCATTAAATAAATTAATTAAAATTATAAACGATTTTCCGCGCCCATATAACTATATATAACTATATATAAATATATATATATATATATATATAACTATATATAAAAACTTTATTGTCATATAATTTACATGTTTAAAGTCCATATATAATGATTTCTATGTATTTAATAATATTATATTCATATAATAATTGAAGTTTGTATGCAATAAGTTTCAATAAAGTTATTAAAAGATTTATAATTGGTTTCTGTATGGTTTTCACTTGATCCATTTGGTTACACCCATCAACTTTAAACTGTAAAATTGCCAAATTTAATTGGCATTCATAAAAGCAATACAAAAAATCAATACCAATATATAAGTATTGCGTAGAGACAAACATTTATTAACACTGATTTTTAAATTTTAGCGAAAGCTACTTTTGGTAAATGAAAGCAATTAGAATATATACTTTTTATGTGTGCACAATTATAAAGTTTAAATTTTATGGCTATTGCACATATTAATGACATTTTTTATTTTAAAAATCTAAGATCCAATTTATCAGTGAACCAATGATTTTGAACAGTTTTAAACACAATGTGGAAGTTGCTAGTATTCGGTTTGTGGATAACTCTGCCAAAGGTATTCGAATAAAATCATTAAAATGCAAAATACATAATATTATATCTATATCAGATGGGTCTGAGTCACGTCGCATTTACCAACTTAAAGTGCAATTCCTATAATCCGGAATATCTTGTGTTTCCAACTTGTCAAATAAAAGCGGTCAATCGAACGCACAAGTATATCAGTATATACTCAGAATTTTTCGAATTGCCCATTTCTACAGCTTGGGTAAGTGTTAAAACAACCAAATTATATATATATATATTTTTATCTGATGTGGGTTTCAGATAAAGCTAAAATTACTTCGCTTTGATAATGGCTACAAGCCTTTCTTTTTCGATATTTCCTACGATGGATGCAAATTTTTAAAGGACCGAACGAAAAATCCCCTTGCCAATTTGTTTTATAAAACGATTGCCAACAATACCAATTTAAATCACACGTGTCCCTATACCGTAAGCGAGATTGAATTATTTATAAGGTTATATTATATAGATCTAATTAGAGATCCATTTATAGCACAATGTGATATTGGAAAAGTTGTGGACAGGGAATCTGGAGAAGGATTTTGGACACTATGTACCTTTACCAAATGGTGATTATGCTATATATACCGAATGGACTATCGATGGTGCTCTACGTGCTTCAATTAAAGTTTATATGAAATTGAATTGAAATCGATAAATAGTCCAGGAGTTAAATAGATCTTTATATGTAATTGTGCTGCTTAAATATGTTAATGATTTGACTTATGGGGCTTCTAAATGATATACTTTTTTTGCTTCTAGTTATTATATTTGTGGGTCTTAAAATACCCAAGAAATAGTATTTCAAAATTACTTATATACCAACAAGTTGTAAAATACTTAACGTTTGCTAAAAGCATTTATTGTTGAGCATCAAATGTTTTTAGGAAGTATCACCTGTTTCCTGTGCTTTCTAAATACATTCTGCTTTAATTCAGAGCCTTTATTTTTCCTTTTGGAGTACGGAATTTTCCCAGAATCTCTGAAAGCATCACACGAAATAATTCATCAAACGTGGATGGTAGGGAGCTCTCCCATTAATAATAAATTAAACATATTCCCTGGCACGCCTTTGCCTGCCCAGCGCCACCAAAACGCTTCTTCCCCTCTCTGTTATTTGGCTCGTCAGGTTCCTTCTGGGGTTCCTGGGGATACGAATTGGTTTTTGTTGTTCCCCTAATGACCTAGAATACAAGTTCAGGCTGCCACCGTTCCCCACATGCCGTCGATTAGCACGAATCCCAGGGCTATCAAGGCTGCCAAGTCATCCACAGGCCAGTCACTGAAACGGAAGCTAATCGCTTGACTAAGTTCCTTAGTCCCCATTCCATGGACTGGTTCAATCTTTAGCGGATTGCGTAATACATACACAATTGGGGTCAAGAAGATAGCACTAGGGGTTTTCTAAAAAATGCTGATAGCTTCTATAAATAATTTGATACTTTTCAAAATGTTTTTCTTTGAGATATTAAATTAAAATAATTCGAGTTTGAAGATGAAAATCTATTTGCTTTTAAAAGGTATGCAAGAATATTAATTATAATAATTACTTAGTTCATCGTTGCCTTAAGAAGCTTAGAGGTTTCCTAAATAATTCTGATAGTTACTAGAAATAAATAAATAAATAATTTGCATGTTTTCGAGATGATTTACTGTAGGGTATTTGATGGTAATAATTTACGAAATTAAATGGTTCATAATTGGCTAATAAGTGTTTTAATGAATATACCAACTTAGCTGATCTTCCTTGCTTTAAGAATGAAATATATTGAATTATTTTAATTGTATTAAATTTCTTTAGATCCATTTTTTTGCCCTCTCCTGTATGCATGGCCTACTGATGACGATGGTGGTCAAGGTGGAAGCTTTGCGGCTTCGACTGTTTGTCTGCCGGATTATAAATGATTTGCCATTAATTCTACACAAATGCCAGGGGCTGGCAGACAGAAAGCAGACTGTCCAGGAGAATATTAACATTTAGCATTGGCCAGGCAGGTAGTCAGTCGGCCAGTCGCCAGTTGCTCACTCAGACAGAAGTGAATAATCAATATCATTTGATTACATTGATAACGCTTTTTGTGCCGCTTTTTTTCTCTCTACCGTATATATGTTTGTATATATTTTTTTGGTTTGCTTTGTTCTCTGGGGATTTTAACTTTATCGGACTGCGATTCCCGATATCCAAAACGCTTTCGTCACTGGCGGCATTGCCGAATGTCTAGACGATAGCTCCATAAAATGTATTATTGCCTCATTTTGCTTTTGCTTTCTATACACACTTGGCTGAGAACAACAAATTTGGGGGTATAATGCCTGAATAATGTGGGGTGATATGAAATATAGTGTCTTTATTTATGGGTAATATAATAATAGTAATGAACTAGGTAAGTTTTTGGAAGGTTTTCCACCTTTAGAACCTTTAGAATTAGGTTTAATATATTAAGTAAGTCTTGGGTAACAAAATAAGGTAATATTTTGTCTTATAAGAAACATTTTTAGATAGAAAATATATATGACAATTAAATTAATAATTCTTCTAACAATTTTCCATTTTTCTGAAACTTTAAGTTCGCTTATTTTTATATATTTAAATATATATCCTTATTTTTAAAGGGTATTCCAAGTTCCCCTCCAAATTCTTAGCCTTATTTTTGGCAAGTTTGTGTTTTGGCTGGCGATTTGAATATTCTTGAAAGGCGTCTGGCGTCTCTGACGAATGCAACGTCAGAGACTGACGTGAATCGATATTGCTGCCAAGTCGGGTATATATATATACATATATTCCGCGTCCAAAGAACACAACGCAAGTTGAGGGTCGTCGAAGGAAGAAGCCACCGATGATCAGAGGCCTCAAATGCCGCTTTGGCGACAGTTGCAGTCAAAGTCAAAGGTGCAAAATAAAAACCTACAAAATATACATAAATAAAGGGGTGTGTGTCTCCGTTTTTCCTGGCGATAATAAAGACAAACCATTATAGTTTTTTTTTTCGCTGCATATTAAACCGATGAAATGAAGCGCAAACTGATTGTGCTGTTGGTGGTGCTGGGGTTATGGTCAAAGCGATTTGCTGGACATGGCATTAAGGGGAGTTCCCTCCTGCATCTCCTGCTCCCAGAGATCGTCGTCTCCATTCCCACCTTTCACATGTAACTGCAGCTCTCGGCGGCAAACTACAAAAGCCTCGAAAAAAAGGGGGAAAAAAGGCGACCGACCGACGACAGACGATGACGACGACAACGTTTTGAGTATCTGCCGCTCCGCCACAGCCACTGATAACAACTGGAGCGGCAAATCAAGAGGTTAAGATTAGTCTGCAAATCCGAGATCTGGGATACTCTTGATGGATACATAATTCAAGGATATATGGTGACAAGAAGTATGAGAAAAATTGTGCTTTAAATTGTATAAATATTCTTATAAAAGATTTGTAATATGAAATATATCATATTTATTTAAGAATTTAATATGTTAATTAAGCTATTTATCTGAGCTTCAATATTTAATATTTTAAGTTACCCAAAATCGAATTTTTAACTCCAAAATCGTTTGTATAAAAAAATCCTTTTGATATACGACATAAAGTCAAAGATTTATGTAAATTACATTGTTATCGAACACAAAACTAATTTATATTAAAAAGAATTAAACCATTTATTATTGATATTCATTTTCGAATATTTTATAAAAGATCTAATTCGAAATTCTTTAATAGTTTACTTAAAATGTCATTTTAGAGGTGAACTAAATACATTGGTTTATTTATAAGCTTTAGTTATCCTTTATTATGTAAAAAACTCCTTGGGTGTATTTATAGGTTCCATTATTATAGTAATAGTATACATAGAAACCATACCAGTGAATGATTTTTATTATACATATTTTTCAATCGCCGATATTTTTCAAATATTACTAACAACTATATTTTTATTGATTAGTAGAAACCAACTAGTTTCTTCAAATAATATCGATAAATTAAATCCCATTTTCGATATTCAATCAAAACTGTTTCGATGCACTGGCTTATCCTTCTACCAAATTTTGATACTCCCCCTTTTTGCAGGGTATAATGAAAACCTCACAAATAAAAAAGGCAAAGGGCGCTGCGGTGTGGCAAGTGAAGGGGGCAGGGAGGGGCGACAGGTGAGTGCAGCGGTGGCGGCGTCATCAAGAGATTGGCCCCAGCAACTGACACACGCACCGAATGTCGCCTTTGGCTTTTGAAGTTGCTTACTTTGGCTGCAGCAATGAATGTGTGTTTGTTTGTGAGTATTTTTTTCGGGCCAAGAGAAGTTTCGGATTGCAAAAGAGCCAGGCAAATGAGATGAGAGGCAGAGATCCTCCTCCTCCCCATCCCGGAACTCTGCCGCCGTCTCAGGTGTGTGTTAATTGCATTAAAATGTTTGTAATTGCTATGCAGAGTCGGCAACGAGCGAGAATTGCCTGCCTTTCTCTTATCTGCAAGAATCTGCGGCATATAGTGAAAAGTCGGGGGGATACTGCAGAGCAGACATGCCAAGCTGTCGTCGTCGTCGTTGTCGTCGTTGGGTCCAAAAATGCCATAGATGCCGCCAAAGTCGTGTAACTATAATTGCCATAATAACATAATATCTTGGGGGCACCAGCACTGGCTCTAGGCACCGGCAGCTGCAACAACAAAAGAGACCCGACAGAAAGGTGTCGAGAGACATATTCTTTACTAGACGAGAAGACTACTCCTCTTCCTCCTCTCTTGGCCAAAAAAGGCAACAGAATGCCGGAATGAGGAGCGGACAGCACCAGCAGCAGCCAGACAATTGTCCCTGTCTTTAGCTCCGAGGCTGTGGAGGTGACATTTTTCTCATGCCCAACGAAGCGAACAGCTAAATGCAGTTGATGGAGCGCCGTCAGCAGTAGGGTGCCCCAAGTGGACATTGCACAGTGGTTTTACGGATGATAATATAATACAATAGTTGCTCCTCTTGGTCAATAGCTGATATTGTCACAGTTTTAGTTTCAAGATATCAAGATTCAAGATATATAAACCCTAGATAAGATCGTTTTTCTGTGACTTTTTTACAGGCTGACTTTCCATCAGAATTTTTTGAATTTAGAATAATAGGTTTGAGGTAATGCACAAAAAATTAAAAGAAAAAATTCCTTAACTTGATTACATATTCTTTTGAAATATATAAATCTTTAAAAAACCGTATGTAGCTTGTAGATTCTTTCATCAATACTCCTTGCTGGTAGCTCCCAATAGTAGGCTATGTTTTTTTCCTAGTTCCCAGCGATTTATAGTTGTAACTTCTTGCAGGGTATTATAATTTTAGCTAAAAGTTTGCAACTCAATGATGCCCTTATTAAGTAAACCTTTTCTTGATCAGCATTAACAGCTCTCTCTCTCTCTCACTGTCTCGCTCTCTCTATCTCTTTTTATCCGGTATGTCTAACTCCCACTGTGCATCTCTTGAGCTAACTCCGTATGTCGCTCTGCTTATCTCAAGAGATAGCTCTTACTCTCTCGCTCTCACTTTCTCTATTCTCTTGACTCGGGAACTATAAATAGAGGCACTTCGTTCGCCGCGACCTTAGTCTGTGCGTGGCCCTCCCAGTGTTTACATCGATAGTGATCGTGACAGTGATATGATGATTACCCATCGACTCCTGAA